AGAGCGATAACAGGCTCGAACACCAACGTCACGACTTGCTGTTTGCCAGGTCATGCGATTGGATGGTTGCACTCTTCACAGTACCACTGATTATTTCGTAGTCGTGCATCAAAGGTAAAATACATAAGACAAGAAGGAAGGCTGCCACTTTTGCTTCCGTGCGAGATGCCTCGGACGCACCAAGCCTCGGAAAAGTGCAGCCATCCGCTCGTATGACCTGTAAGCTAAGAGTGAACGACTGTACTAGCAAGCAACAGGTGTTTCTCTACTTCCTTTGGGTAGAGAAAAAAATAACTACGATTATATAGGTGCCGGTCACACACGCAAAGCCACCGAAAATAACCCGTCGAAGAAAGATACACCCCTCCTCCCTTACTAAAGTAAATAAGTCAGTGCAGTGCTTGAACTCACATTCATCGTTTCGTTGGTTCTCAATTCGAACCATGGCTCGTGCATGTACTTTGATGATCGGCAAGTCAGCAGACACAGTACTTGGATAGTGTTCACAAAGCTGTATACGTTCATTCCTTCGCACCTCAGCTAACGATGTGACCGACGTTCAAAACTTTTTTTCCCCTTCAGTAACACACTGCACAAGTGTTTCTCAGCACCCATTGTTATACATGCCAGAGTCAATGACCTTCTAAAGCACAGCCTTGCAACACGGTGGCTGCAACCGAAAATACTAAGAAGTTCGAAGTGGTGGGAACCCCGTCGGCGGCCGTCGGAGAGCCGGCTGCACGATCCCCCAAACGACAGCCATGTTGGACTTACACTAGCGCCCTCTTTAGGCGGTGAAAGTTGCGAATAACGTAGCAAGCCTTTCTTGTCAGATTGTGGTCAATGTACATGCCAATGGCTGCTAATGGGGAATGAGAGACAGGAGAATTCGGCTTTTAGTTAACGCGCACACTACGAATTTTTTATTGTTCAACAACGCACTGGAGAAATCTCCCACCAGCACCACCTTACAGGTAAAAAAAAAAAAAACACTGGATACACACTACGACTATGACTTCGAGAGACGAACGGGTGCCGCTATAAGAAGCTTCGCCCAACGCAGCAAGGAAGACTTGAAGATCATCTCAAAGATGTAGAGCAAGGTGCACATAGGCGGCTGTTTGTACACTAGGAGGCTGAAATATTTTCCTCTATGCGTAGCTGTATGAGGACACGTGATAAGGATGTGTATATTTTAAAGGGACACTAAAGAGCGAAGCTATTTTTCGCGCATTACTAAAGTACAATTTCATAACCTTGAAAACACTACGCGTATCGGGTCACGACGCTTGGTGTGAAAATGCGGGTGGAGGCACCCCCTTATTATCTCCACATCAAACACCATGCCATCAAATATTTTGAAGAGTCTGCTGGGCACCGCGTATATATCTTCTAATCGATACAAATGAAGTACATTACCATCTGTGGGTGCCATAGATCCTAGCATACGAAGTTTCGCAAATGTCATCGAGCCAAGTCGTCTTCAACTGGTGGAGAGTGTACCAAGCGGAACAGAAAAGGTGTTTTAATACGCACATGCAAGTTGTTACTGTACACACACAACACGAAACTACGTATGTGCACATGGTCCTCACGGCGTCTTGCTGGGCTCAACAGCGCCGTCCGTTGTCACAAGCAGGAGCACTGCTCAACCATCACTGACCTGCAAGGCGTTCGTCGTCATTAAGCTTCGTCATGGTGCCCAACGCAATTTCGCTGAACACTAACTGTTTCATCCGTGTCATCCGCCGCACGACACATGGATATGCACTTGTTCTACGCACTGTTGAAACCCCGTGATGGACAAAGGGATTTGTAAACGTTGCTAAGAGTAATGTAACAGCCAGGAGAACACTGCGTAACCAATGACGCGGCGCAGAGCACAGATATTGTCCGCCACGGCTCAGCACGAGACCTGGGGAGGCCCACATTCCACCGCCAGCCACGGCCGCTCACTGCTAGACCAGCTCCACTGCACAACACGTAACCATAGCAACGCCGCCATTGTGCCTAGTGAATATGGCCGCCATGATGACATTTCCGCCACACTTTTTACGCCCTGCGCCAGCTGGGCATGCCCTCTCCTTACCTTTTTCCTTCCTCCGTGTTATTTCCGCATCAAACACCATGCTGTCAAATATTTTGAAGAGTCTACTGGGCACCGCGCAGCTTCTAATCGATACAAATGAAGTACATTACCATCTGTGGGTGCCATAGATCCTAGCATACGAATTTTCGCAAAATGTCATCGAGCCAATGTAGTCTTCAAAATCTGGATACATGCAATTGGCAGCACGAGTCACAGCGTAGCTGCCTCAAAAATCGTTAACGCATCGCAAAAGTACTAACAGCTTTCGGAGAGGTCTGCTACACACGAGCAGTTGCCTTCTTCAACCTCGGGCTCGCTAGATAGGTTCTTCAACTTCAAGTAAATATGATGCGGTTTCCCGAAGCACAACTCACAAGAGTGGAAACTTGGGATAGTTGGTGCATGGTCATATTTGCAAGTTTTTTTTCAGCGCGCGAACATGGAAACAGAGGGGGGACAGGGTAGACAGAAAGAGCGCTGACTTCCAACTGACTTTACTTCACAGAGTGCCAAGAATATATATGCCTAAAATGGATGATTACAAAGCATGACGTTAAAATACAAGCCTAATAAATGCACCAGTATCAACGCACGTATGATGGGTCCTCTGTTGCCTCAAAGCCCAGCCAGGTAATCACGTTCTGCCTGTGATACAGCAACCTCTGAGGTGCTTACGCATTTATCACCTAGCGAATGCATTTTTTCTCCTTCAATAATTTCTTGGGTAAGCTGATTCCTATGCTTTGCCAATATAGACACTGATCAAAGAGGGGGTTCACCCTCAATCTCGGCGATGAATGCCAAGGTGCCCTTGTACCACATTGTGCACATTGTTTCGTTGTTCTCGGAGGCGGTCATTCATGCACCTGCTGGTTTGGCCGACTTAGACGCACACACGTCAGAGGAATTAAGTACACGACTCCCAGTGCTCATGGAATGTAACGTGACCTGTGCGCAACAGAGAACGGGACAGAATTTGCACGAAGTGTGGTAACTCGTTTGCAAAGTCTCCTGCAATTTTTTCGGTGCAGAAAAAAAAAAAACACAAGAACGTTGGCGGCTCGAGCAATTTTATTAGCCTGTGTGAGACGTCGTGCTCGTAAGGTACTACGACAGGCCGGCTCTTTCTGACACTGGTGCGCTTATCCGGTTTGTCACCTCACCTCACGACAGTGGCCAGATTTTCCGCCACCGAAGTGAGAACACGTGCGGGGTAACCAGCTTTGGTCAGACGCTCCACTTGTAGAGCAAAGCTGTGGTGTACCATGTGGGGGCAGGACTTCTTTAAGGCGTTGACAAGGCAGAGGTTAGCAATGATCCACTTGAACAATTTTGAGTGAGCTGAACTGAAAAACAAAAGCGGCTTGCCACTTTTTCGTTCATACATCCAGCAAACACGTGATAATTTCAGCAAAAGCCTCAAATCGAGAAATTTCAGGTTGTTATCAGTGAATGATTCATACGTTAAAACAAGTCGTTTCAGGCCCTCTCGGAAAACAGTCCAAATGTCAGAGAAAATGACCTGGAAATTTCAGGCTATCACATTTCAGCAGCTCTATATAATCGTCCACAAAACGAAAAAAAAAAACTACAGTGTCGTCAAGTTTGTTGGACAAGACACGATCATGATGTGCTAGAAATATGTCTCTGAGAATGGGTGCCAAAGATGAACCAATGCATACTCCCCTTTTCGTAGGTAGTTTTTGTTATCCCACGATACAGAGGTGGTCTTCAAATAAAAACTGAGTAATTCTAACAGGTCTGTGTTATGAATTCCAGTGCTCGTTTGGAATGCTGATGATCCGAAACTGTCTATGGATTCGTCTACACATTCAAGTAGTTGGTCATGCGGCAAAGAGTAAAATAACTCCTTAACATCCACAGACATTGCCTGGAGTCCTGTGTTAGTTCGCCCAAGAATATCAATGACAGCGTCAGAGTTTTTGACCATAAAAGGGTCGTCTATTGTTATATTTTTGAGCTTTTCCTGGAAGAAAAGTGTTACCGACTTTTGCCAAGTCCCCCTTTCTACTGAAATGACCCACAATGGGCAGTCAATTTTGTGAGTTTTCGCAGAAAAGAACAGGTCAAGGCTAAGCTTTTTGCAACTTATCGCCGTTGAAAGCTTTTGAAATCTCAGGGCCCCGGTAAGAGTTTTCGCACGCTTCTTAAGCTTAACAAGACAAATCTCAACTTTCTTGTTGAAAACCTACTCCATTGCCTGTACAGCCTTTACCTTAAACGTGACATGTGCGCAGCAGAGCACGCGGCAGAATTTGCGCTAGGTGTGGTAACCCGATTACAAAGTCTCTGCAATTATTCCGGTGCAGAAAAAAAAAAAACCACAAGAACGTTGGCGGCTCGATGCAGCTCGATGTATGCGCGTGCAGCGCCAATATTCCCGCTGTTTTGCGAGCAAAATTCTTTATGGTGATGATAATGAAGGGGTCCGCTTCCAGCTAGCTTTCGCCTTTGAAGAAGCAACGTGATCAGACGCCGCAATCTAGAAACTTCAGCCACAGAACACCTGCTTCAGCACAGCGCCAAGCACACTGTGCGTTTTCTGGAGTTGCGAATTTTCAAATCCCCCGCTCCATCAAAACTTCTCCGACATTGACTTTCATATTGTATGAAACTCTATGTTCTCCGAGTAGCAATTTTTTACGTTTTATTAGAGTTATTAGGTGGCTAAGGCTTCCACGCAGATCAACTTCTTTCAAGCTTTTCATACTGTCGGCAAAAAAAAAAAAATATAATACCCCTCCGTTTTTTTTTGCTTGCAGCTATCATCATCACCAATAAACTAGGGAAGCGAAAAGCGGGTCTCTCGTTTTTCTCGCCGCTTTGGCTGCTTGGCAGCTTTGGTTGCTTTGGTTCCCTAGGCTCCCATAGCCAATTCGCAGCCGTGTAATCGTATGCATCCATGAAGCTGATCGCTTGGCTGCCGGTTTTTTATTTTGCGACACTTCCGTGCGACTGTGACCGTTGCCGCTTATGCTTTCCACGGCATCATCAGCCCGAATGGCCGCTGCATCGGCCTGAGGAACCGGCGCAGCCGCATCTTGTGGCCACGACGAACCAACCGCCGACGACGCTTGGCTAGCTTCGCCGCCCGCCCTGCTTGTAAACATGGCGGACGTCTCTGTCAAACGAGGTGAGACCTTTTCTCGCGAACATAACCGCTAATTTCCTGCGATTACGCGACCCAAGCTGCAGCACTGGTGATCGCTACACGGTAACTGTGTCCGCGCGCTTTTTTTATCCGCGGTTGGCGTTTGCGCGAACGTTACGCGTGCCGAGCGGGTTGCCGTCGATGTTGCACATCGCTCTCTCTGCATTTGAAATTTCGAGCGAATTTATCGCCGCCAACTCGCTCTGTGTGTCGCAGGGCTGTCATCGTTGGTCCAGGAGTCCACCTGGCAAATTGAGCGAGAATTACAGCCGGCGGATAGCTTCGAAAAATCCCGAGTGCGCTTGGAACGTGCGCCCTCGTAAATTGAGGAGCTGTCGCGATTTGAAGCAGTGGCGCTGCCCCGGCAGGGCTTGCCGTATTTTGTTTTGATCTCTTTCATGTCTAGTCGTGAAGGCTCTCTTGCGGTTAGTCTCGGCCAAACTGTACCGTGTACGGAGCTGTCGTTTTTTCCCTTCGAGGTCTGGGAGAAGGCGCTCCAGTGCTCAACAAGTCGCATGTTAGCGGCTCGTGAAGCGGGATAGGTGACTAGAATCTCTGAGAAAGCGAGTGCGTGTTTTATTGGTTTTATCGTGAGACCCGCGTTTCCATCGTTTTGTGGAAGTTTATGCCGGCGCGTTTACAGCTGTGCGATATGTTTCGGAACTCGTGAAGTTAAAAAAAAGAAAATGTGGGATTAAGGAAAGGAGATCCGTTGTGTGTATGCGCCTTGTGTCTTTCGCAGCACATTTCAGTTGCGTTATACGAAAGAGGCTGAGAGTCCCAATTTTGTAGCAGCCCATACAGCAGTGCCGTCGAATTGGTGGCCGCGTACAGATATGGGAACTTACTAATTTTTCAAACGTGCAGGTTTCTGCGGCGGTATTTAGAGGGATCGGCTCCTAATATACGGCCGGTTGACGTTTTTTCGTATGATATATCAGTTGTGGTGGGGAGAGGTAAGCTCTTCGGGGGTTATCGTGGTATTAAAAGCTGCCATAGATGACCGGCTACATGATGGTTGTTTCTGCTTGCAGTGTAATACTCTGATACCAGGGGTCCCAGAAAAGTATAAATCGGCTTTTATGTGTCGGCATTGAGCATCTGGGAGGCCTCTAGTGTTTAAACGTATGTTAACGTCAACATACATTTGTTAATAATTTCCCCTCCTTAAAAAGCTTTCCTCTGCTGCTGAGAATGTGGTGTCAAATCATTTCCTTGTATCAGTTTATGGCATGAGTTACATTAGTACATTGCGATTGTCTCAAGTTTGTTTGCTGTAAGCCAATGAACAAGGTTTGTACAAGCCTTAGTACATCGTGATTTTGCTGTTGTTGATACAGTGTGATACCTACTTCGGGAGCCGCCAGGACATTCTGGAAGCACCATTGTTTTGTTAAATTTGTCTCAAATACCATTCGCCTGTGCAACAGCCTGATATACTCTACTTCACTTTGCATTGATGGCTTTAATTATAGCTTTCATTTTGAATTTGGTAAGGGAGAGAATGCTACATTCTGTAAGGTTCAGTCCTTCTCGGGAACAGTGTGTGCATTTTATCAAGCAGCCGAGTGGTGTTTATGTATTTTGATCAACTCTTCAGTGCAGATGGCCATGTATTTTGCTTTTGACAGGATTGCCTTGCATTTCCAGGTCATTCACTCAAAATTTACTTTTGCAGTCTTTAAAAGTGCTTTAGAGAAATAAGGCATGTTTCGTCATAGTGTTGGGAAAGAATCCATTCCAGCTGTCCTTGTGTGTAATCCTATGCATGCCCATGAGCAAAAGTTTATGGGACGCCGGCTCAACAAGAAATGCGAGTTTCTGCTCTATTAGTATGTAGCACTTCTAATCTAGCCAGTGGATGTATCGGTTGCAGTATCAATGAAAATCATGGAAAATTCGTTTGGAGATTAGGAGCTTGTGTTCCAAGAAGAGTAAGAGTATGGCTTTCTCTAACATCGAACATATGGTGTCCCATAAATGTTTGCAGAGTGGTGTCCTGCTCATTCTTGTCAGTAAACAGATCATTGATTGACCACAGTTGGCATGAAGAACACTTGATCTCACCACACTAAGTAATTATACCTAACATCCCTAGTTAAATTTCATTAGGACATCACTCTCTCTTGACCACTTTCTCCCTCATCTTCCGTATGTCCTCCAGCTGGTGTGCTTGGAAGAATTTCAAATCTCTTGACATGGTGGCAGACGCAGGTAACTTCCAGTTTGTGTCTTGGTACATATTATGACGATGTTCGTTGTTAAAACTACAAATATTGAGCTCATTGATGTATATTTTCACAGTTCGCAAAGCACGAGGGCTTTATTGCGGCGATCACAGGACGCTGTCCTCTCGAAGACACCGAAAATGGGCTCGACCAAAAGAACTGCTTCTTATTCTGTGTCTCGTGATGCACCTCTCTAGCAGATTGGTCGTCCTCTTCACCGACATCAGCACATAGCTGGGCACAAATATGAATGCGGCATTACCCTCCCTCCAGAGAGAGCATCGTCTCTATGCTCACCAAGTAGCAGCTGATGTGCAATTAGCTGGTCGATATTCATCAGTCCAAAAGATACGGCTTCACAGTAAGACGCTGACGGCGTCTTAAGCAAAACGAACCGTCAGCAACAACCTCGCAGGTGACAGTACTGAGGCGGCACAGTACTTTATACAGTCCTAAGTATGAGCGTAGAAGTTGCTCCGACAGACCTCGCCGTCGCACAGATGACCAAACCCAGACTCTTTCTCCTGGTGTATAAACTAGAAATCTATAACGAAGATTGTACCGATGGGTGTCGCGTTCTTGTTGGCTGGTTATTCTGACTTGGGCAAGTTGCCTCGTTTGCTCGGCACGCTCAGTGTAGTCTGTGGCATGTTTCCAAATTATTGGAATCATGGGGCAGCATAGCATCGATCATTGTAGTCGCTTCTCGGCCATAGAACGGTCTGAAAAAAGTCATGCACGTTGTTTCCTGGTGGGCCATATTATACGTGAAAGTGACGTATGTCAAAACTCTGTCCCAATTCTTGTGCTCCACGTCAAGGTATATGCAAAGCATGTCTGCAATAGTCTTGTTGAGGCGTTCAGTGAGTCCATTCATTTGTGAGTGATAAGTTGTCGTCTTCCTATGCGCTGTGCCACTGAGTCTAAGCACCGTGTACAGAAGCTCAGCAGTGAACGCAGTTCCTTTGTCTGTTATGACGACCGTGGGAGCACAGTGTGTCAGGAAAATGTTCTCAATAAAGAATTGTGTGGCTCCAGCTGGTGTGCTGCTCGGAATTGCCTTGGTTTCCACATATCTTGTGAGGTAGTCAGTCGCGACTATGATCCACTTGTTGCTATTATCCGATATTAGAAATGGGCCTAAGAAGTCCATGCCAATCTGTGCATACGGAGTTTCGGGTACTGAAATAGGATGTAACAGTCCTGCAGGTTTATCAGGTGGAGTTTTCCGTCGCTGACAGTCAATACAGGTTTTAACGTAATGCTTCACTTGCGCTGGAAGTCATGGCCAGTAGTAGCTTTCTCTTACTCGTGACAATGTTCGCGTATGACCGAGGTGGCAGTTGTCATGACAGGCTTGCAAGATTTCCTTGCGGAGAGTTTCAGGAACTACCAGGAGATAATTATTTGCTGATTGAAGAGAAATTCTTCTGTATTTCGTTGCGTAAGCAGAATGATGGCAAACTTCTTCAAAATGGTCTTGGTGCATTTGTGGCTCGTCCTTTCAACACTTCAATCAAAGAGTTAGGCTCCCGATAGTCTTATTGTTGCTGAGAGATGACAGTCGCATCCACAACTCCTAAAAAGCCGATGCCTTCTTCGTCTTCTGTGATCCTTGATTCAATCGGTGATCTTAGAGGCAGTCGGCATCTAAATGCTGCCTTCCGATTTGTAGACTATTGTCATGTTGTACTCTTGAAGACGTAAGCTCCAGTGCGCCAAACGTCCATAAGGATCTTTCATGTTAGTCAACCAACAAAGTGAGCGGCGATCGGAAAGCGCAGCCATATACATATGGGCAAAACTTTGTGACTGTGCTAACGACCTCCAGACATTATTTCTCCGTGGTTGAGTAATTGGTTTCGGTGCGTGACAAGGTTCGGTTAGCGTAGGCAACCACTCGCTCGGCACCGTGTTAACTCTGGACTAGAACAGCACCTAGGCCCACATTGCTGGCGTCTGTGTGTACGGCTGTTGGTGCATCACTCAACAAATTGATGAGCACCGGCGGAGTTCGTAGACGCTGCCGTAACTCTTTGAATGCCACTTCTTGCACTTCACCCCATATAAACGCAACATCATCCCTCATTAGACAGGTGAGTGGAAAAGCGACGTACTCAAAGTCTGCTATAAATCGCCTGAGACCCAGGAAATGTCGAACTCCCTCTTTATCCGTGGGCTTTGCGAACTTTGAGACCGCGTCAGTGTTGTCCGGGTCAGGTCTAATATCCTCGTGACTGACCACAGTATCCCAGGAGGAACTGGAGCTCTTCAAACCCAAAGTGGCACTTTTCCGGTTTCAGTGTTTTGCGACCACAGCAGTTTTGTCTAGGTCAGGTCTAACACTCTTGTGACTGACCACATATCCCAAGAACTGAAGCTCTTCAAACACAAAGTGGCACTTTTCCGGTTTCAGTGCGAGTTCAGCCGAACTGTATGGCGTGAAGAACCGACAGCAGCCGTTTTAAGTATTCTTCGAACGTGGCATAAAAAACAATCACGTCGTCGAGGTACACAAGACATGTTTTCCATTTGAGACCGGACAGAACAGGTATCCATAAGTCTTTGAAATTGGGGCTGAGCATAAACCGAAAGGGAGGACTTTGAATTCGTAAAGTCCATCAGGTGTCACGAAAGTGGTCTTCTCTTGGTCACGCTCATCAACCTCTATTTGCCAGTATCCACTTTTAAGATCCATAGATGAAAAGTAACATGAACGCAGCAGCCTGCCCAGGGAGTCATCGATCCGTGGCAATGGATGAACATCTTTCTTAGTAACATGGTTAAGCTTACGATAGTCGATGCAGAAACGCAGCTACTATCTTTCTTTTTGACAAGCACCACAGGTGACGCCCAAGGGCTCTTTGATGGTTGTACTACATCATCCTGCAGCATCCTCGTAACCTGTTCCTGTTTCACCTCACGTTCTTTGTGAGTAACACGGTATGGGTTCTGCTGGATGGGTCTAGCTGTATCTCCCGTGATGATGTGGTGTTTGGTCAGCATCGTCACTGACGTCAGCACATAGCTGGGCACAAATAGGAACGCGGCAATATGTTGATGTAAACAGTGCTATGTGAAGAAAATGTTGGGAGCCAAAAAAAAAGCCTGATTGTGCCACACCAGTCACATATGGGCAATAGCTAGGGGATGAAGATGGCGACATGTAGATGAAGCAGCGCTACTTTGAAACTTCTCATTTGAGAACCTTAATCCTAGCTATGCGCTGATACTTTCTTATGATGGGTGCAGTACCTGTAAGTGTGGCTAGACGACATGGGTCTCATGTGCGTCGCTGTACAAAACTACTGCTTTGGACTGGACCTTCTCTATGATCGCCACATTGCTGAACAACTCCTTCACAGTAGTTGGATAACGAAATAGGAGCGAGAGAGGGTTCAAAGAAGTTTTAAACATGGGGAAGAACACGCTTGTGCACAGAATATTTATGGCACCAAATTTTAGTACGTAGTAGGACAACCGAGAAGGGTGAGGATGTGAGCGTGTCTGTGCCAATTTGTGCCAGTCCTAACTTGTTCATTTGCATACAAGAAACTGGTTTTCTCGATTTGCATCATCGCAGACCATGCTATTGTGAATTTAAAGGCGGGTCTACCCTTGCAACTACCCCAGTAGCACGACCAGTAGCAACTGGTGACTAAAAAGCGACTGGTGTTCACACCAGTGAACGTGGGGTACGAGTCACCACACAGAAATTACATCTGTCCCGCATTGTGGCTTGCACTTCCATTGCCCTGTAAAATAAGCTGACACCAGTCCCGGTGCATCTGATTGGCTGAGAAGTTTACGACCACAGTCGCGCGACTGAGCTAAAGAACTCACTCTGTGACTATCTTGATCGTATGGAGGTGCTAATAATAGCTGTAAATGAGCCTTTAGCGACCAAATCATTGTTTTGCATGCTTTGTGCAACATTGATTGCATTCTTTGGTCACTGGTGCTAATGTGCCTTGACATGCATGGTAATTAGTATTGGACGTTTGCAATACACGATAGATAAGGCATTGGCACCATTCCCTAATTGTATCTTCTTGCACTGAACAAACAGTGGAGGGCGAGGAGGATGCAGCAGCTGAAGACACTGCAGATGCCATAGCGGCAGCTGACCTGCAGACCACGCCAGCGCAGGCAGCCGGGCGCCGCACGCGCAAACCCGTCCAGCCCTTGGGGGGTGTGGTGACGCGGAGGACCTCGGCTCGACAGGTGAGCACAGAGTGGGACTCCGTGCCAACTTCGTGCATTTTTCCGTCGGCCAACCAAAAAAGACGGGAGCTATCTGCGTGTTGCCCGAGCAGAGGGAGACGACCTATTGTCTATGCCTGATCTGCACTGGAAGATACCGTTGGTCTGGCATCGTAAAATTTAGAGCCCTCTGAACTGTTTGTTGAGAGGGTAGACAAGCAAAACTGGGGAATAGTGAAGACAGCAACGCGTTGTACACGCATTTGGTTTCACTTGCCCTATCGTTGCGCGTGGTATTGGCTCTGTGGGAACATGTGCATTTTCGCTTATGGGTGAAGCACTCCTCAAGAAACTTTTTTGATTTAAGGCTATCGTAGCAACATTTTGATGGGAAGAAAATTTAAAAAAATATATAAGGGCACTTAGATTTATGTACTTGGGCTAGCGAAAGTGGCCGAACACGACAGCGCTCTGGTAAAAGGACACCAAAGGCAACTATTAAGTCGACGTTGATTTTTGCAATGGCGGTCCAGAAACCTCGTAGTGTTACTTTAGTGCCGAGGAAGTGCTTATTTTGAAATAAAATCACGTTTAAGTGGTCCTCATCGGGTTAGCACACGTCAATTTAACTGTCTCAATGGAACGTCTCACGTCACTTGCTGTGCACGTTGTCAGGCTTTACTGCGCGGCCGCCGACACTAGTAGCAGCAGAACGAAAACAGCGGGAGTCACAGCTGCAACAATGGCAGTACAACAATTTCCTACCATTCGCTCAGAGATGTCGGGCGTTATTGGTTTGACTGGGTCCCGCTAGGTGACACGAGCTCTCCAATTGAACCACGTGACAGTAGAACTTTTGAACCACTTGTGCCATTTCCCATAGTAACGTTTGGTGGTTCTTTTTTGCGTGAATCAAACAAACGAACAAGCAGAGTTTTATTATTAAGTCTCTTGATGCACGAAAGGTTCTTTATTTAGTGCAGCTACTTCGATTACTAGTGATTAGTTGTAGACAGTTCGTTTGACCTCATCGGGATTATTTTGAGAATGTCCTACTGTGGCACATGTATTCTTGTGCATTTACCTTAATTATTTTTTGTAATTAGGCCACTGCTATAATATTGTCGTTTTAGATAAAGTCATACATTCAACTTTGACTCGGAGGTAAATCATTAATTCACTTCGGTGTCCCTTTAAGATGCAGTGGTATTTGTGTGCAAAACTTCGAAGTATAGTTTTAATTTCATAAAGAGACACCTTCTAGGCTCAGTGTCACTGGGGAGTGAAATATTGTGCTGCATATGCACATTGCAGAACATCTAGGGGATGGGTTACATTGTTCTGAAATTTTTCATTGTAGGACTTGTGTTCAGTTTAGGAAACCACCGGTTATCTTCTTTAGGGCAGAAATCAAGTGGCCGAAATTCGGGAAAAATTGACATTTCCGTCAGTTGATGCTAAGAAAAGCAGAAGCAAAATCCGCATGCTCACGTGAGACACTCATTACGTTACTTTGGCATGGTTGGGCGGCGGCAATGTTAAAGTAACTTGTTGGTTTGGTCACTTGGACATAACTGCTGTTTTGTGGTGCTTACATATGGGGCAACTTGTCACCACACAGTTATATTACGTGACACACTCAACCAGGTAAACACATAACGAACATGTGGTTGGTTGCAGGAGGCATGGCGTGAGGTAGCATGATTTAATGCCGTCTGTGTGGCTACTTTAACACTGAAACATTTCGTTCCCTTTAATTCACATTTTACTCGCTTTGTATTCACTGTAACATTTGACCCTTTTACATGGACGGTCTACATTTATTCGTACAGATTTCCTCGTGGCTTAGTGCTAAGAACTGGTTGTTGTCTTCCTTCAATTTCTTCTACTTTAATTCACATGTGGTTCACCTTCAATTCACATTTTATTCACTTTATGTACTAATTGTCACTTCTAGTCAGTTGGCACACGGTTAGCACATCAAGCCTCCCCGACGCCAGCAATTCTTGTTTCTAAGTTTGTGCACTTCACTCCGTGTTGTATCTCCTCTGAGGCCATCAAACATTTTGGTGCCATTTGTGGTGCTAGAGCACTTAAATAACAGATCATACATGGCTCTTTTCCTAAAGAAGAGACTTCAACATTTCCACGCTGATTTCAAAGCATGGCAGGGCATAAATTGAGGAAGCTGAAGGCCAGTTGCAATCATAATGGTTGAGGTATGGGGTCCCAAAAGAAGGCCAATTGTAATGCTCTGCTGATGCTGAATACAGTAATCATCGCTGAGGCTGTAGCTGTACTGCAGTTGTCGGTCAAAGCAGTTAATTAAGGGATCTTCTGCAATGCTTCAACATGGCACCTGGGAGTTGTGAAATCAGAGCAACAACCTGGAAGAACAGCAGCTATAAGCTGTTTGAAGGAGGCTGGACTGCTGTTGTGTACATGATCTCACAGCAGACTCAAGGCAGTTTCAGCTGCGGTGCAGACAAACACTGCCGTGTCAACCAACGTTCATGCAATGTTTGAAAAGGTAAGACTTGGGAAAAGAAGTCTCCTAGCTTTCTCTGTCATTCCTTTTTCTTTTTTTTGAACAACTGTGTGTACTGCAAATGCCTCCTATATACAATGCAACCTTCACGGAGGGGCTCTCAAAGTTTCTGCCTTGGAGGAATTCTAACCGCTCTTACAGAGCCTTGTGAAACCTAGCCCTCCCCACCCGTCTCTCCTTTTCTTAAGCAATGTGCCATTCCAGAGACGCATTGTAAGGGCCCATTAAGGTGTAAGGATATTGGTAAATGGTGATAGAAGTGTTGAGGTGCTGAAGCAGCAGCACTGCGGTGTCAGTGAGCATCGTCTGTTATTTATTGTTTGACTTGTTGTCTTAGAAGGTTTGGAACATCCGATTGATGAGGAACATTAAAGAACATGAGTGCTAGGCACAATATGGTACGGCATGAGTTGTGTTTAGAAGGTGCTTGATTATCCCTGAAACCTGTGTGTAGTCAGATAAGTTCTAAAACGAAAGCAGCAGTTTCGTGTGTTTTTAATCTCTTGTGTGTAACTAATGAGCATGATTTACATGCATGTCTGTAATGAATTGGTGATTAGTACCAACCAAGTTTGAGAGAACTGCTGGTGCTGAGTGCCCACAGTGACCTGCCTCTGTCTGGCTCCCCTCCTCCCTCCAGGTGGCGTCGTCGGCATCCCGTGCAACCGCAGCCACCGAAAGCAGCAACAGCACGCCACGAGGACGCGCAACGCGGCAGGCAGGGCCCCGTACGAGGGCCACGCCCGCAGCAGCCGCGGAGGGTGACGCAGCGGCCGGCACCACGCCGCAGCGCGCCAGTGGCAGGGGCACCTGGAAGCGCAAAAAGTCTGACGCGGAAGAGCTCTCCACATCGGAGCCTGAGATGGAGCACGACGACTCCGATTCTGATCCGGTGTGGGTGCCAGACGCGACGGCAGGCAGCAAAGGTGCCCCCAGCACCGATGCGGATTCGCCGACGGCAGCGAATGACGGTGCAGAGCCTGTAACAAAGGTGGCGCGTCGCGGGAAGCCGGCGAAGGCGACCAAGGCGAAAGCCGGAGCGCGGAAAGGCGCGGCAACGGCGGGAAAGAAACCAAACGGAGCCTCGAAGAGCGAGGCTGGAGGGGGAGGAGGTGCGGCCAAAGGAGGGCGGCGCAGCACTGCACGCAAGACAGAACCGGTGCCGAGCATCGACCTGGGCAGCAGCGTTGCATCACCCGATTCACTTCAGCTCAAGGTGGAACTGCCCAATGAGAGTGAAGAGGTCAGTGCCTGGCTTTCTGGATATTTCTATGCCATGTTGTACTTCGTGCACTAATGAAGTACGTGTTCATTGCCTACCAGCTGTGCTCATTATTTTGCCAGTGTTTGTCAGGATGTTCACCCTGAAGAATAGCACCTTGTGAGTAGTAAAGCATGCAAACCAACCTAAACTCTGCATGGTGGCCTTCCAACTCTTCTTTCGTTATATATAGTTAAAAATCAACCTTACTAAACCCGATGTTGCAAGTTTCCCGATTTAACAAACGAATTGGGATTTCTCCTGCCCTGCAGTTGGCCGTAAACTGGATGCTTTTATAAACACGAAATAATGAAACAAACTTTGCTGCCAAACCTGATATAACAAAGCATTCCATCAAAAAAAAAAATATATGCGTAGAAAAACGGGTTTTTCCAAACTTATTATTTCTAGAATGTCTGGGAGTGTGCTGCTAGCATAGGAGCTGTACAATCAACACAGCGGCGGAATCCTTGTTTCGGTTCTTACCAAACTACTAACTGAAACTGCAGGAAACGATAGAAGTCGCACTTCTTTGCTGGCTTTGGGTTAGTTCCACCAGATGGCAAAAGCGCGCATTAACTCTCACGTGCGTGCTTGAAAAGTGTGCACGTGAGAAGGAAGCCCCATCGGCCACCTCCACGACGTCGTCCCTCATCGCTCTCTTACTACAACGCATATACATATCCTGGACCTGACGCCAACGAGAGAAATCTGCCGAAAGTGTCCATAGAGTTGCACGTGCATTAAAAATGTTTATACGATTTGTGGAAAATGCTCAAGGCCGCCACCAACGGCCAGTACCTTTTGCTGCATGGGGTCCACGCCACACACTTGCAAACCAATGTTCCATGCCACTCCTGCCAGTCTGCCACCCACGCAGCATGCGATGTTATCACCTGGCGGTGCACGCAGCTCTCGCAAAATAGAGTTAATATGAATTTCGATTGAATGTCATGACTTGGTAAAAGTCCTTAAGGGGGGACGTGGCTTTTGATCGCGAAAAATGGCCAAAAAATGGCAGTGGCTTAGCTCAACTATGCCAGGATATACGTAGCGTTAGCAAAGGTTCAGCTGATTATTCTTAGCTTTCCAGAAATCATGCTTACAGCTGTTCCAATGACACCCACACGGTATACGTATTATGTGGCACCTGTATATTTATTTTGCCGGGCAATTACTTCGGGATCCGATGAGTTAAACTTCTCCGCTCTACTGCACTGTTGAGCAGCATTTGCACTCTCCTTCTCTATGGCTATACCACAGTGGCAAACGCCAGTCAGAGGCGCTATCAAGCGGCTCCAGCGCAGTGTCAGATGGCGACTGCCCGGGGAAGGCGCGCGCGTCCGCGTTCATATGTCTACCAAGGCTATGATGGCACTCCTCTGGAAAGCGCACACCGGCGGCGGCGAGTCGCGCGCGGCCGCGATCGAGTGCGAGGGAGGTGCCGGCTCGGGTGCGTGACACCACTGATTGTCTGCGCAGCGCATCGATTGCGCGCACACCGGCGGCGAGCCGCGCTGCGGCGGCGGAGTATCATTGCGCATGCGCCGACCAGTGCCATGCGAAATTGGCTCAACGAGGCCAGTGTAGCTAATGCTACAAGAAGGGATTTTTCGAAAATATCATTTTGAATTTTCATATCCTGTTATCTCTCAGATTCCGAAATATTATTCCAAAAACCGTGCAGAAGTGCTTAAAAAATTGTTTTGTCACCTAATGCGGCGCATAAAATCGCGGAAGTCGTGAAAAAAGTGTGTTTTTCAAGCCACAGTAACTTGGCAACGGTGCAATCAAGAGACACCATCTTTGTCTCGTCCGAGAGAGCGTTCCTCCGGCTTCAAGTTTCCTGCATCAGCCATCGTCTGCAGGCGAAAAGAAACGCAAAAAGCAAAGTCCCGAAGGTCCGGCGCTGAAGCCTGACTGGCTGCGCGCGCCACGTGACACAAATGCGCGAGCGCCTTTGGTCTCCTGAACAGTTTCCCTTGGCAACGGCTCATACCCGCATGTGCCTCCCGCTGTTGTCTACTCTTTGTGCCATCAGCAAGCCACTGAAGCGCTGAGCGGATATTTCGGTCGTGGGCGGCACGGTTTTGCCGTAGATTCTTGCCAGCGATCATGGATCGGCCACGGTGTAAAAGAAAATACTGAACATTTGGCAGCCGTAAGCGCAAATCTCCGAACGTGAAAAAGAAAGCATCGACAGCTTCTAGTGCTGCCTCTGCTGCTGCTCAACGTGTTGCTTCCAACATGCTTCCAACATGCTTCCTCAACATGCTTCCTTTTGCTCCATGCTCTTCGGTCCGACGACTTCTCGTACTCGCTGCCACGATCATCGCTCGATGACTTTTTGAACCTGCTGCCGCGATCGTCGCTCGACGACTTTTTGAACCTGCTGCTGCGATCGTCGCTCGGCGACTTTTTGAACCTGCTGCTGCGATCGACGCTCGACAACTTCTTGGACCCGTGGCCGCGATCGTCGCTCGACCACTTCCTAGACCCACGGCCGTGCTTGTCAGTTGACGGCTTTTCCAACTCGCGGCCGTGCTCGTCGCACATAGATGAAATGCCATAGGTAACAGCCAGTACAATTCAAGCTCGCTTGGAGTTTCATTAAATATCACCTCAAGCCTCTCGTGAGTGCACAGAGGCAGTCAAAGCCTCTCTCAAATCCGTTTTGGCAATTGTGCGAAAAATGAAACTTCTTGGGGAGAATGAGCAATAAACTGATGTGGAGATGGCATAAGAGTTTTTGCTTGCACAGCTAGCAGCAATAAATGCCTTGTATAAATATGTTTTGTGCCCAAAATGTTTTTAGTGTAAACTCAATCTTCATTTGGGAACAAAGCATGGTTTGGCAGCACGAATAATATTGAGCTGCTATTCGCAGTGCTCATAGACTGTCGCGCCGCCTAGCAGAATTCAGGAGCATCCTCTTAGGATGATCAGTAGGCAGACGCTCCCAATGATTCTTTCTTTGGCGGTGCTAGCTGCATTGTTAACGCGTTAGCAAGAAACGAACACAAACCACTTTTTATGTTTAGTGAATATACCGGACCGTCCGTGGCACGATAAATCTGATTCATTCTTGCGAGATGCGAAGTTTTCGTGAAACTACATGGCAACTCACGTTTTTGATTATAGCTGGCGGAGTACACATATCAGCTTCGCGAGATTTTCTGCAGCAGTTTGGATAATTAAATGTTATCGTCTGACCATTCGAGTTAAAGCTCACCTTGTTTTACATGCATATAGTATTCGTCAGTGCTTTTGTAGTGCATGAATCTTATAACATTCGTTGTACGTGGAAACTAGCGCAAGTTCGCGATTCGCGTTTCTAAACCTTAGCCTACGCTGTTGTTGCGCACGACGGACCGATCCCGCCGAAGCCACCACTGTTGCGAAAGACGGGGGCGCCAACACGGCCCCGAAGGCGCCACTGCTTCCAACTCCGCCGGGAAGGTCACCAGCCGTTTGGTAGCGTAGGTTTATCAGCTCGCGACTGCTTCTGCGCAGAGCTGATAAGACGAGCGGACGAGACGACGGTGAGTTAAACAAGGTTTATGTACAGCATATATACAGAGGCGTTACAATTTCGGCACTGGGGCCGACAGAGACTCGAAGAGCCGAGCTCTCCTCTCTAACACATAGGTCAGCTTTTCGCCTAAGACCGCTGACTCACACACATGTCGGCTCTCCGACATGGGGACTCCTCTCTCGTAGGACTGCCGATCGCGACGCGCCGCCGGGCTTCTTTTATTTACACCGGGTCCAACCAAAATGTCCAATCAGAAGCGCCGCTGGTCGTCAGGGCAGATTCCTCCAATGGGGTAGCCGCGCCATGCGTCAGACCACCAGACACGAGGACGCCGGCTCGCTGTCACGTGCGCCGCTGACTCAATGCACGTGGGCCAGAGAGACGCCGCGCGTGTTCACGCCGTTGAGATGTTCGCGTCAGGCGGACTGCGGGCTGGCCTTGACCCAGATTGCCTTTTTCAGAGGCACGGACGTTTGACGAGGACTCGCTGGCATAACAGCACCCCCGCCGCCAGATAATGCACCGGAAAGACGAGCTGCTTCCACGGGGCTCGGATGTCAGGTGCGCTCGTTCGCCAGGTCCCTCCAGGTTCGCCTCCAGGGCCATGGGGAGAATACAGCTCCAGACTGTTCCGGGAACACGTCCCATTTTTGACGACGGATCCCAGCTCCACTGGCTTGTCGCCACAACTTGTCAACCAGCTTCACTCGTCTCTTCTGACCATCTTCGGTTTCAGCACTTGTCGATGGTTCTGCAACTTGCCAAGAACGGATCGACAACAGACAACACACGACACACGCAAGTGCCTTCGGTCACCCGACAGAACACCAGACAAAGTATAGTACAACATATACCTATCTACGTGTTTATCGGAATTTTGTTCCCTCTACATCAAGAGGCACATGTGGGACACAAGACTCTTAAAATGACAACTCAATTTTTTTTTCTCCCACGTACAACAACGTAACGAATTAGAATACCACAAAGTTGGCCCCTTGAGATTACTCTGAACGAGAGCGCTCAGCCCAGGTCGTGATGAGGTCAAAATTTTGCCCTGAATCGCCAGCCAGAAAACCGAAAGGTTGAGAAGTTACTAGCTGGAACGCACTGCTCAATGCACCTGCATTAGCGTCTACCTTTCCTTTATTTTTTTTTATTTTTATTTTTTTGATAGCGAACGTCAAAGTTGCGCTCTGGAGCAACATGCTCCACTTCAGTAACCGGCCACTTTTAGGCGACGATACCTATGCGGCACCAAGAGCGGCTCACACTTTCGACGTTGCACAGGGGAACAACGATACGGCTTGCTACGGATTGACTCCTCACCGCTGAGCTCGATATCGTGTTCGATCACCCTCGTGTTTCCGGGGCGGTCCGAAAACACGTCTTCAAACTCGGAACCAATCTTTCTCAGGTCCTCTTTCTCAGGTCCTCCTTCACTTAAGTT